ATGTGGCGATTAAATTTGAACTACAAAGGAAACTGTACTGTAGGGAAGTCATACCATTTAAAGCCCCTCTGCAGAAATACAGAAGGACTGGAAGTAAGATGTGTATCATGGCAGGATAACAGGAAACAGATTGCAACTTATCTGAATCTGAAACAATCGTCAAGTCATCTGAATTAATATGATTAAATCATGAAGCAAATGAAATGATGAGGTGTTAAGTTTTAAAATTGATATTTAGCCAATACTCAAGTTAAAACTTTTGGGCTTCTTTTAAGGTTTACTAAATGAACCCATTAGACTTTTCTTCACTTTTCTGTTTTACTTGGAGCAGTCAGAAGTTTCCCTTGCGTCTTATTGGAAATAAAATATAAATATTATTTGCCGACATATGTTACATAAACAAATACAAAACTGATTAAAACCAAAATAATACAAATGATCCCCTCTTATCAGTAGCTTTAAATGAGCACTCAGAGAATAACAATCTTTACAGAGAAATGCAAATGTTTATTGGATGAGTAATTGTATGAGACAAGATATGCATAATGTATTATGCTTTGTGTTGTTTAACAAAAAACAAAACATATATCATTGTGTTACAGACGTACATAACATAATGGCTATGTTCAATAAAACGGTTCTGGACTATTGCTTTCAAGCCTAATGCATGTCAAATATACAATACTCTATGACAATGTGGTATTCCCAAAAGAAGGGCTTGCTCACTATGAATGTCAAGTGCAAGTTACATGTATTTGAATGCTAATAGTTTTCAAAATTGATGACATCCTACAAGATGAAACATTTATATCTATATTTACACAACAGATTAATCTTGTGCTTTATAATTAGGCAACAAAATTGTATTTCTTCAAGCGGCTTTGTCACTTTTCTGTATTTCAGAAGTGTAAATGAAATACTTATGTTGACTGTGTTTCATTGAAATTCCAACACAATCAAAAAATATCATACGACAAAATGGGGACTACGTTATCTTTTTCGATCCTGACAAAATGAAAAAAGGCAGAGATTTCAACCTTGATGTTTTATCATTTCCCAGTAGCTGTCTCTAGTGACAGTTGGGGTACAAGTTATCGTTTTAAGCATCATACAAAATGTTTATGGAGTTTCATAGGTCCTTTAGTAAACTTTTAGAACTTTTGCTCTGGACCTTTTAGAACTTTTGTTCTGTACTTTCACGAATGAGACAACATTGATGTTGGTTTGTTTTCATGACATACCAGTAGCAGAAAGCAGAACCAGTAAGAGAATAGCAGTAGTCAGCAAGGAGAGTTTTGGGTAGGTATAGCTTCCTTTAGCTTCTTCCTTGGACCATCATATATCAAACAGGAATGTCACCTTTTCAAAATATGTAAAGACATAATTAAAAGATTGCTCCAAGCATCATAACCACTACAGCCGCTTGAAGTGGTTATGATTCCTGTAATACCGTGATTCAATTTCCCGGTAATAGGCAAGTCATTTTCTTCTGGATGCCCTCTTACTTTGGTCCCTGCTGGTTGCTAAGAGGCCCTACCATAGCTATTGATGATTTTCGGCTTTTGAAGAGCTGCAGAAGGTTGAAATCCATTTTGACAAAATCTTTTGTTTAGTAAATAACTCTGTTAATATTTTTGGGTATACTTTAAAAAATTTATTTTTCTAAATATCTAAAAATATTTCATATATATAAAAAAATATATCAATATATCAAAAAAATCATATTATTTTTGTTTTCAAAATATTAAATAATTTTAAACGTTTATCCAAAAAATGCTGAGTAAACATGTCTTTCCAGACTTTAAAGGCATTGAATAATATTAAAACCTGTGTCAATGTATGCATGCTGCTTGGCTCATCTGAAAAACTATTCCAAGTGCTGAAAATTAAACCAAAAACTAAACTGTGACTGGTGAGTCCATGCTAGATAGAGAGGTGTCAGGGAGTAAAATGATTCATTACTCAATTGATGTGTGAGCAACCTCAACCTAATGGTGAGTTGTTATGACTGATGACATTCTCAGTGATAGAAAGAATTAACTAGTTCTAATGAAATAAACATGAATTGACCATCCTTGAAGTGGAAGAGATGCTTTGAGTGGACCTGACAAATGTTAATCCCGATCTGGTAGGTCGATTATATTACTTCAATATTCAACCATGAGTCCATGCAAAAAAAGCCCTGACATAATCTGGGCAAGAACAGATGTCTGTGTAAGACTTAACGTTCATGGGGACTCTGGAAAAACAGCTTGAGAAGTAATAGTCTGTGTCTGGATGCTAACACTTTATTACAAAATAGCGTAAATGTGAGAGATATGTATGTGGATTGGATGTCTAAAGGAAGGACAACTGCACAAGTCTAAAATCTCGTTTTATTTTACCATGATTGTATATGTTTATATTTCATGGAATATTCCTTATTGGAAAAGAGTCCAAGTGGAATAATTTGTATACATATTCAAAATATCAAAAACTATTTGGACTGTGTTAGAAAGCAGTATATAGTATATTGTGTGCATTATTTTTTTCAATGGCTTTGTTTTGTGCTGATACTCATGCCACAAAAACAGTACACAAAATTAGGGTGAGTGAACAGGTTTTGCTGTGAACAATATAATGAACAGGTTTTCATTATATTGACAAACACCCAAAAATCTCACTAGCACTAACCCTAAACACTAACTCTAAATTCCCCAATTCTATATAATCACTAAAGTTATCCCTCTACTCGTAACCCTAAACCACACCAAGCCTACACACCAAATAACCCCTCTAATCTCAATTCTATAATTCCCCAAACACCAACTATTTATAATCCTAGTTTCTCTAACTATAGGCATCCTTTATATTCAAACCCCACTTTTAAACCTACATGTTTATAACCCTGCATATCAACAAACAGACTCATAAACACCTTATTTTTAATTCACATATCATGGTATGCCACCTCCTCTTTGCTTATACTTAATAGAATGGGGGCCTTTATCCCTGATTCGCTAGTGGTCCAGAGGGGAAGTACACTTTGCTTGTCTTTGTCTTCACTTGATACTCCTTTACTCTGCTGCGGCTTAAGGATTCTGAGCTTGCCTTGGATATTGTTGAAGTGGAAGTGCTGTTAGTATTTTTGAGAGGAAACAACATAACAGATGAAGTGTTGGGAGATGAGATTATATGATCTCCGGAAGCCACCCATCGCATTCCAGGTGAAAGCTTTATTTGCCCAATGGTTGTTTTGTCCCTGCATGCAATTAAAGCATTGAAGAACATTTCGTTTCGACTTGGTATTCAGAATTTCTACTGTGTGCATGGTAGTTTCTGCGAGGTAACTAAAATCAGTACTTAAAAACACATGAAAATGAAGAGAGTAATTTGTATGAAAACAATGTATTTTTTAATAAAACTTATTTGGCATTTGTGTTGCCATACATATTTATTTGGTAATTAAAATATATTTAAATAAATGAAAATATATATATATAAACACTTTTATATTGTATGCATGTCCAGGTAAGAGCAGCTCTCTTGGTTTCATATATATTTATTTATCCAGTCCTTTAGTTTTGCACACCTCCCTGTCACAGGTGCCTCATTCCAGGGCATTATTTAGCCTTACACTACTGAGATCCCTAAGAGAAAGCATTTTCCAATTAACTGTATTAATCTCATAATTGAAGGCATTAGGTTGCTAGGATTGGATTTACCAAAAATGGGGTGCATTAGTGTTGTGGCAGGATTATGCAATGTATGATCATATACTGTGACTAAACCCACATTGGTTTTGCCTAGGTGAGGTGTGTTTAAATTAAACTATTCCGTTCTGTGAGCTTTAAATTGTTGTTTAGTGAATGAGCGCATGTGCTGAATCTTGTTTGTTATATATGTAATGAAAAACATTAGTTACAGCTAATTTATATTCTAGATTAAAAATAGTCTTACTGCACTCATGACCTTTCTCCATCAAATGTAATTAGGAAGGTGAATGCACTCCAGTAAAAGGAATCTCCTATGCAGTAATTTCCATGTACCAGACCACATCTAATACAAACAATCAAGGTTCGAGAAAAATCCTATGGTGCGTCCAATAGTCACCTCCTTTATATAAAGTCACCCTTGTACTGAAGAGCCGTGCAGAGTTCCTCTCATTTTTTAACTTCCCCATTAAAAATATAAATGTGTTTTTTTGATATATAATTTAAATTGATTCATCTGTATTCTTACCTTACCGAGAAATCTAAATGTATTATCTCTCAGATGAGAATATTTAAACTCCAAAAATAAACTGCTATGGCAGCTCCCATCTCATGATGAAATGTAGATAGCGGGTTGTTAATAGATTGCTTTGTGGCATGATAACATTAATCCTTTTGTAAACAGATGACTTCCTTAACATTTTGCATAATCACCTCCATTCAGATGAAGCATTTAATGGTTTTGACAAATAAGTGCTGTAATCTGAGTTCAGAGATTAAAATGGCATCATATAATATCCAGAGCTTTTTAATATTATATTGGGAATGCATTGGGTTGAGAATTAAAGTAATAAATATCAGTATGCAATGAAAACACAGTAGGTCTACCTAAATATTGTATTAATTGTCTGAATAATGCACTTGGAGGTCTGTATGAAAAAAAAAGTTAAAATTGATAACTCTCTCTCTATATATATTGGAAGTCGTGGTTCAAAAAAACACTTACTTCACAATGCATGGTGTGGAGCAAAGGGGTAAAAAAAAATATAAAAACTAAAATAAAAATATAAATACATATATATCTTGGAAAATGTCCCACAGAGGACTGAAATGTTGACACGTTTTCTGGTGTAAATGTTGCCACATTTTCTGGTATATATGCCTTGCTTTGGTCCAATTCTTTAACTTTCTCAAGTAAAATCCCAAAGAACCCTAAAGTATTACATCCAGTAAGTGTTTGTCTTTTTAATTAATGAGTTAATCTGTTTTCTTTACAGAATGAGATTACACAAATGACAAACCATGAGATGCAGATAAGATGAAGAATTTATTTACATACAGTAAGCATTGGTAGATGTGTTCTGTTTAAAAGAAAATACAGTAACAAAAATAATTTTAGCATAACTACTGTATAAACAAGAGTGACAAGACAAATATTTTTTTTCTCTGTTGTTGTTAACTTATAAAGAACACAGAGCCTGTTTTAACAGATTACAAGTTGCATTGTGTACTAGGACAGTAAAAAACTGTACAGTGCAGGCAACACGTTACAATAAAATATGATCAATGAGGCAGTCTTTTTTTCAGCAAGGTCAGGAAAAAGAGGAAAGGGTGTTAAAATCTCATAAATCCACCATATCTTTTATCCATCTCTGGGGTTTCTTTGGAATAACTTTCTCCGTCTTCATCTGAATGAACAAGTGAATCTGCAAAGCGCCTCATGAACCCTCCATATCTTTTCTGGTAATCCTGCCACCACTCGGGCCTGCCTACTCTTCTCATAAAGCCACCATATCTCTTCTGCATCTCTCTGGTTTCATCTTCCTGATCTGGGCTTCTTTTGTAATTTCTCATGAATCCTCCATATCTTTTGCTTATGTCTGCTGGTGTCTCATTGTTTTCATGGTAATTTCCAGTTTCTGGGTCCCCACTGGTGCCCAAAAGCTCTCTTAGGAGATCTGATGTATCACCATCAAACTCCTTTTTCATGAAACCTCCATACTTCTTGGCAGGTATTTCTCCACCATTACTGTCTTCTTCAGGTTCAACATGATAAAGTTCATCCATTTTCTTCATGAAGCCACCATACCTTTTCATAAAGCCTCCATACTTTTTGGCAATAAAGTGGCTTTCATTGGTATCTGGTTCCTTTTCTGCTTCCTGTGCAATGTCCACTTTGGCCAATTGCAGAAGCTCTTTGCACATTCCCCATGCTTTGGCTGATGGTAACTTCCCTTCACATTCTAATGTGCAAGCCTGAAAAAAGAAGAGCAAACGGTTTAGTTAAAATTTCAGAGGACCCTTAAATAAATTAGATTTTTATCAGATTATCTAAATTCAAAGTAATAAGATGTAAAAACAATTATTGCACAATAAAAAGAAGCACCATTATCAGTAAGTGGCTGCAATGCAATAGACTAATAAATTGTCCGGGGTTTACGTGTGGAGTCTTATTCATTAAATCAGACTCTACGTGTATGTCCATGGATGATTGATTAATTCGAGCAAGGCTGAAAAGGAATTAAATTCAGTACAAACATCTGAAAAAAAAAAACCATTTGCACAAGTCTACTATATACGCACATTTCTACCACCATAAAGTAAATAAATACTATAAAAAACATAAAATCGCCACAAATGTGCATCACATTTAACGTGATTAGTAAAAATTATATTACATCCCAATAGAGAAATTGTTATGTATAGTGAAAGAACACTGTAAGCACCATAAACACTACAGTAATCACTGGTTATGGCACCAAGGGTCATTATTTGGGTCTTCTGATCACCTGTGGTATTCCTGATCTGCCTTGCCATGCTAAAGTTCACACATCTGCACTAGCATACCAAATTCAGACAATATTCATTAAGATGATACTCTAAACCAATGAATAATATCCAAAATTGGTATGCTATTTCAGAAGTATGAATTTCCACATTACCACAGAAGACCGGGAAAAGAGTTGGAGCCTAAAAGTGCCAGGCAAGTGTCAAGCTGTACTGCAGCTGTTATGATGCTTATTGTATACCTTCTAAGCTGTGTTGAAGAAAATCCATTAAATGAATACTTTAATTTGTAATATGACACAGTCTATTTTTTATCTGCAAATAAGATGTATAAATCGTACTTGTAAAATTTGCTTAGATAAGCACATATATATTACATTCTTTAGTTTGAATACAAATTGTAATTATTAAACTTTAATTAAATTACAGACAGGATAGTCCTAACTCTCTCGTGGATCTTTGTTTGATCGTCTTCAGATCCTCTAGAACATGCATGAAAGTACAACACGGAGGTCTATGGAGGATTCTGCAGGAACTTCCATAGAAAATGCCTGAATCTTACAGCTGTCACTTGCCAGATGGTTCTATTGATGAAGGACCCCCACCTTTCATCAGCTTTTGTCAACATTAGGCTTGTCCATACGGCAAATTAGTCTCTACTTTGTCTTGTGGTATCTTTGGATTATGCTGGAATTTCAGTGAAATACCAACACATTCATCATCAGTGTTTCATAAAGAATATATATTTTTAAATAATAAAAATTGATAGATCCACTTTAAAATTCACGTGTTTAGATATTTATTATTCCCTTCATATTGTCTTTATGACGGCAATCTCACCTAATACATTCAGAAATTATCAACATAAAATGGGAGATGGGAGGAATATGCACATAGCACAATTTCTTTTTTATCATGCATAAATATGTACAAATCTCTTTTTTTTTTTTTTTTTTTTCTGCATCGGTCACTGGTAATGGCTGGGAGATTGACACTTCTAGATGGCGGTAGCTCCGCCCAGTGTCTAGAAGTGTCAGGTACAGGAGAAATACTGAGGCAAAGTATTCCCTACTTTGTCTCAGTATATCTCTTGACTGGATTGGATTATCATCAAAATTTCAACACAGTGAATATGAGTGTTTCATAAGGATTCTATATTTATGAAATATTAATTTTTCAGGGGGGGGCACTTTAAGAGACAAGTTATATAAACAACTATAGCTGTCTGGAATAATCAGGCAAATCTTGTCAAGATAGATACACATATTCACTATCTTCTAATGTTGTATCCATTTCGACATGGTGCAACTGCAATAAACTGAAGTCCTAGAAATGCCTATTAATCTTGAAAATTTGCATATTTTATATATTTATTATAAACTTGATGTATTAGAAATGAGTAAAACCCCAGTCCAGAGTGTAATCTAACACATATGTATGATATTGGGTTTGCAAAATATAAATCTTAAACTTGCAAGAAAACATTCTAAAATCGAAACATAATCAAATAGATAAAAAAATTGTAAAAGTACTTCTGGTACTTCAAAGAAATTGCACCAAGTGCCAATTTCACACAAAGATAATATTTCTTTTGATGAAAAATGTATTAAATCATAAAGTTTTAACATAAAAAAGAAATGTGCTCCTTACAAGTAGTACCAAACTGTCATTCTTTTACTATTCTTCTTCATTAGATGAGTCTTTTTACAGTTGTGTTTGAAGTACTGAATACGAAGGCAAGAGCGCTCTAATTATCTATGTATTTATTTTTCTTAAAAATCAAAAGGCATTTGGAACAAAGGTGTCTGAATATCCATTATGTTAAAGTCTTGTTTTATATAATATTATTCTTCAAGATAGTAATTCACTGCCAATTCATGTAAAGCTACACTGAAAAGCTATCAGCACTGAAATTAAAAACATTTAGGGGATTGTTTAATTAGGTATAAATATTTTCAACGTAATATAAAACAATAAAAAAAAACAATGTTTTTGTTTTTTTTATGCATTGATTTTCCCTATTATGTTTGTGCCAGAAAACCTTTTAATAAATATCCATTTTATTATACATTAAGTCATGAACACATAACATTACTATAATTACTAATCCCATGTCTATTGCTAGGAGATGGCTATCGGCACCTGTCTCTTGTCCGGTGAATCAACAAGAAGTTGCTCACGGCAACAGGTGTTATCAGCGTTCAGTTAACACTCTTCAAGTAGTTAGTCTAGATCTAGAACATAGTCACAGAAAAGGCTACTCAGTGTAGAAAATATATTTTAGAAATGTAAAGGCAAATACTAAAAAACAAACTTCATCTGCTATGGCTCATATCACCTACGATGTTATCCCTGCAGATACTATTCAAAGGGCAGGTAATAACTCACAAATTCTAATGCTGAAAGTATAATTATTTTATCAAGAAAAGGCTAGACCTTCATGTGCTTCAAAGATATTGCGTTCCAGGTTTTTTTTAATAGTCTGCATGAAATTGTTAACGGAAAGACTTGGGCAGAAAGCAAAGGAATGGACTCCGGGTCTACAAAGGATGACTTACTGAAATACTATGGCATTGGTAGGCACCCTTTTAGTAGCACTGTTCCAAAGTAAAGCTTTGAGGTCCCTTAGGGTGCCAGCTCTAATTTTTTAAGGCAACGTGTATGTATGTTGGAAAATTCTGCATTTGTTATATATGTATGTAGCTGCTGCTTTGTGAGATTTATAATCTCGGCTGTACATGGTCTTGTGTATGTGTGCATTATGTGGAAAGTCTGTTTATGACACACACGATGGTACTGTATGAGTTGAGTGGTTTGCAACATTGTATGCGTGTGTGTGATATTTGTGCCATTGTGTGCGTGGGCTGTTTGTTGTATTGTGTGTTTGTGTGATTATAGGCTGCTTGTTCTGTGCAATGTTTGTGATATTTATGTATATTGGTTGTGGTGTTATGTGTATGTATGTACACTGTTTGCGGTATTATGTTTATGCATGTTTACTGTTGTGTTATGTATGTGTGCGGGATGTCGCTGCTGTGAATGTGTGTCGGCTTTCCGTAATACTAAAGAAACACTCTAGTGTTAGGAATACAAAACTGTACTTCTAGCATTATAGTGTCCCTCTGGCCCTGCAACTCCCCCCTTGCGGCAATGATAAAGTTAAATAACCCTTAAAGAACTCCTCCTGCAACATCAGCACAAGATAGAACCTAATGCTCATGTACTGCAGTGGTGCGCACACAGTAGGTCTTCCCCAAAGAAAATAATTTAATGCTTTCCTGTGGTGTTTTGCAAGATGCTGAATGTCCTCATGCAAAGCCTGAGGATGTCCAAGATCATTTCACAGAGTTACATTCTGTGAAATGCCAGGAAGCGCCTCTAGTGGCTGTTTCAAAGACAGCCACTAGATGTAGTCTTTACCCCTTAATGTAAACGTTGGAAATGTCCTTTTTAACCATACTCATGGAAAATCGATATTTCAGGGCAATGTTGAAAATATGCTATGCTGTGTGATGCATTGGTAATTCTTGGGGGGAAGCTGGTTACTCATAATCTAGATTACAATTAGTAAGTATTATGGTAATGAAAGAAAATATATGGGAAGAGATTTTTCAATAACTGTCCTATTCAGGAGAAGAATAAAACGACCATTGATGTTTTATTATGGGAAATTAAGCATCTTCAATTGAGTTTATATTCACTAAACATCAGACTGTGGTGAATTGTAAGCCACATTGCAAAGTATAGATAAGTAGTGACATTATCTTAAGAAATTGAAGTTAAGAGGAACTGTTAAATTCAAGGCAAGATGTGGACAACCAAGAAGACTCTCCAACAGAACTGCTCATAGAATGGTCAGGAAAGCAAATCAAAACCTCCTTCCTTATTACGGGACAAAACCATGCTAGCAATCTCATCACAAAACTCAACATGTGAAATACGCAACACAACACATAGATAAGCCAACAGCTTTTTGGAACCACGTGCAGTGGTTTGATCAAATAAACAATGAGCTCTTTGACTACAAACACCAAAGGTACGACTGGAAAAAAAGGGAGTAATATAGGAATTTTTTTTGTCAACTATTAATAGTGGTAGTGGGTCCATTATGTGATTGAGTTGTATTTGAATGGCAAGCAGTGACCAGGAAATAATATAAACTTAGAGAAAAAAGTAGATTTACTAAATATCAACAAATCATGGGAGCTAATTCTGTAGTGAGAAAAGAAACTGAAACTAAAAAGGGGGTTGGATATTCTACCAAAACAGTGAACTCAAGCACATCTCAAAATAAATCATGAACTACTTTAGGACATGAAAGACTAAAGTTTGGCATGGTGTTCATACCTACATTAATATATCTGAAAATATTGGAGTTTTAGTCAAATATACCACATATAAAGACACCTGAACATGTTTCGGAATTAGAAGCATTTTGTAAGGAAAAATGAGAAAAATACCTGAAGCAAGAATAAAAAAAACTATTGGGTGACCACAAGAAGAGTTGGGAGGCAGTAGCTTTTGGCAAAGGTAGCACTAATTCATGGATTATGTACTATTATTTTTTTTTTCAATCAGTTATATTTAGCAAAAAATAAATATATTAACCATGCATTTAACTATGCGGAAATATCTAGAATTTAAGTATTTTTACAATGAAGGAATAATAACTTATTTTCACTTATTAAATAATAAAAAAAGTTTGGTTTAAATGGTAACCTGAGTTCCAGTATGCTAAGCTGTTAGCTGTCTGAGCACTCGTGAAGTCCATTGCTGCTAGAATGTATGAGATGACATGTCCTGCCTTTTTCTATTTGGCATGCCATCTGTCAGAAAGCATACAACGCCACACACGTGGCAGCAACATAGACTTTATGTGTACAAAACAAAATATATCCCAATCTGACCCATAATTGCCAGTCACATATATTTAGCTTTGAAATAATATGCCAGTTGGAAGTAACTGTGACAGCAATTCCACTGAGCTTTTACTGCAGCATTCCGCAGAAAACATATGTTGAATTATATTGCTCATTCGTCAAACGTCACTGCCAGGCATTGCCAAGCCGTGGCACTCCAGCTGCTTGCACTCTGTCATGTTCAGCCGAAGGCGTGCAGAGTGTCATGCCTAGAGCAGCTGGGGTTTGCACTCCTGGATCATTGCTTCTAACTTGTTGCAAAACCCACCATTCATGATACATATTCCGAGTTTAATGAGGTTTGCTAGCTTTTGGCAGCATTCTGAAGATCATGATATATGTGGGGAGAATATAAATGTCAAATTAACCCATAACAAGATATAATTATGTCAATTATGAGTAAATAAATTATAAAGCTCTGGGGATAGAAACCATAATTTGATTTATTATGGAAAGATGTTGCTCCATTTAACACCGATATGGATTGATAGATATATAAATATCTGTATTGATAGACATATCTTTTCTCATGTAATAGCAACAGCTCAGAGCAGGCATAGATTTACAATTAATTCCTCAGAGTTTATAATTTCAAATTCTTTCCTATGTACAGCATTTAAGATGGTAAACTGTAAATACAAATGGTTATATTCCCTCCCTCCGTTGTCTTAACTAATCTGCTGTGGGTTCTGAAAAATTCCAACTAAATTTTACAGTACGTCTGTTTGTGGGCATAATATCAGATACAATAAATAGAATATAATTGCAGGCTGCTTACATGCCCTTGGTAGGTGCTCTGAGCCTTTCCTATCCACTTCCTTTCATTATCTCACCTAACAGAGGGCTGTGAATATGCACCAAGCCACAAAGTAATCTGGTGGGGTCCTTCAAAGTTCATTTCTACCACCGGTTCAAAGATTAGTCTGTTCAATGTAGGCAGTGAACCAGATCATATGATGAGAAGAATTACATTTTACCTGACAGATATTAGGATTATTTACTAAAGAGAGAATTGTTGGACATTCAAAGTGAGCCAGGATCATCATCTCACACTTCAAATACATCCAAGATGGCCACCTCTCATAACTCAGTCCAGCTTGGAAGAGCTTATGGCACTAGAACTTAACAATTGTCTATCATCCTTGACCTTTCAACAAGCAGAAAATATTCAACTACCTACAATTTAAAACGATATTATCCTAATCTTGGCTCCAGCGAGACAGTCAGAATTTCAGGGTCCTCTCCTGTTGTCCAAGGTTGATTCCCCATGTTTGGGGACACCAGGAAGACTTTCAATCAGCCTGGAGTACATTCACACCAGACTGACATGCACACTTTTTGACAGACCTCCCACTTTATGGGTAGATCTGCCCCTTTCTTGGGCGCCCTCAGTTGCCATCCACACTAATTCGGATCACTATAGAACAAGTTGGGAGGCATAGAAAAACCCTACATCTACTATCCCATCATTAAAACTGAAAAATAAATGTGGGGTAAACATGGGGAACAAAGTCATGGTTAAAACCCAGATCATTTGATTTGGCAAACACGATAGACACTAAAGGCTAGTTTCCATGTCTGTAAAGTTAAAAACGGCTGCTGATAAAATTAAAATTGCTTCACAGTTGCTTCAGCTGGGGGTAAAGTAGTTTGACAAGAGAGCAACTGCAAATTCTCAATTCATGTTATAGAAAAAATACATTTATTCCAAATGTAACTACAAATAAGCACTAAAACCCACCTACACCCATTGAGTTTGTAGTTTTCAATAAATACATATGAAATGTTACAAGTAACATGTATGGAAAGATTTTTTTTGTGGTTTATTCACTAAAACAGTATATTGCTTGAAAAGCAAAATACTACATTTATGCTTAAAATGTCAGGCTATTTTTGTGTAATTTTGAAATGACGTTTTCAATTCACTGTTTGGTAAATCAACCCTTAAGAGCACGATCCTCAGAAAATCACGAAAGGTGTAATTTATGGTGTCCTGATGGAATTTGTGTGGCAATCAAGCAGAAAATATATTTTTTTTACATTTGATTTATCATTGGTGTTAGACATGAGTAGTGTGAAGAAAATGAAGGGACACTCCTTGCACCGATATTACTTTTGGGGTTTTGACCTCATTGATATGCTGTATTTTCTTGCATGCTCAAAACTTTTTGCAGGATGATGCAGTGTGAGACTGCCTCTTCAGCCACACAGATTTATGTATTTCCATGTTTTATTCCCATGGAGATACTGACAAAACCTGGACTATTGGTGGGTCTCAAGGACAGGCTTGGGAAACACTGACTTAGACTATCGGGCCTTCCCTTAAATACTAAAATAAACAGATTTACTTACCTTACATTAGAGATGATCTCATCCAATCCAATGCTGAAGTTGAAAATGCTTAACATTGGTCCTGCAAAGATTGCAAGAATGCACAAGGAAGGTCATCTAGTGGCTGCCTGAGGGAGGGGCACTAGAGGTGGTCTTAGTAAGCCATGTAAAACACTTCCCTTTCTCAGAAAATGAGGTGTTTGCATTGCAAGGGCAGTCTTTTTCCACAAAAACCACTACATTAACTCATGTGCTTGTAACACGTGGAAAATAATATTACATGAAGAGAGCTATACATCTTTATTCTGCAACTGGACGTCTCCAGCTTTGCTCCGTGTCAATCACTGTTATAAACTATGTCCTTTGCACATGGCCCTTAACATAGAGAAAGCATACAGAGAAGAGGAGAAATGACACAATATTTTCTTTCTCCACCTCATTTGCAATGTGTGCTGGCATTTGCAATATATACCTCTGTCGGAGGCATATATACAATCTATTTTTTAATGATCCAATATGCTCCCATATTGACTTCATACCAAGCATCAATAATCCATGTGAGTGTTTATGTGTAGCCCAATACATAGGTTACAGAGCAGAAAGCATATTTTGAAATAATCTTTCATCCGTGCTTTATTTATTTACTTAAAATATGAATAATTACACCTGATGAGAACCTTGTCATTTACACATGTCTAATTTTAAGCAGACCTACTTATCTCTTTGATTTGACTCATGGCAATGCTTTGTTAATGTCCTTAGTTAACATGTAATTAGCTGATTATTTATTGTGTCATAGCATACCGAAAGAGAGTCTAAAATATGAAAAGAAGCAGAGAGGTTTTCTCTGAGCCTTATTGTGAAGCTGGTGAACGGGGAATGTAGAATAGCATTGGAACTCTTGAATACAAGAGATATCTCCAGTGTTTCATCACCTTCTAAATCTTATGTTTACCATATAATAAAATAGTTTGGAAAGTAATAATTTAGAGAAAAAGTATGTTTGTTTATTTAATAATGAATCCTTTCGAAATGTATTGTCATTTCTTATGAAACAGCAATTTGTCTGCATGAGAATTCTTTGTTACCATTTTATCTCCAATTTTTCTGATAAAACACAAAACGCAATTCTGTGATAAAGCTAGTGTATGATTTATCATAGTAAGCAGAATCCAGCTGATTCGAACCTTTTCTGAATTTTATCTTATACATTAGCAGATTTGTCAGTGTGTGGTTACAAACAATTATATTAATGCTAACGTATTAAACATTAGCCATAGAGACAGCATGATTCAAGAACTATCATACTATTCAACAGACTCTTTGGAAAGTTTATATTAACAGCCATACCTATATTTATTCTAGTAATTACAAATGGGTTGTGGAATTACATTTGAAGATATGTAAGTCCACATTCAAACTAATAAAAGATTTTAAATTTGTCATTTTACATAGTACTAGATAAACTGCTCATTGCGCCATTTAAGAATTCACCATGCATGCAAACGTCAGAATTAATAAGCAATATTAATTTGTTGGAAACTACATTTTAATTTTTTTGCTCCTAACAACCTTACCCAGCTGTTTTGGTATATAGAATTAGAGGATTGTTGCTAAATACATCAAAATAGCAATATACCTTAAGCAATTTAGAGAAACCAACTGATATTCATTCATGGGAGAGGGCACACAGACTTCATAACATTTTATAGGGTTACTGCTTTTGTGTGTCCCATACAATTATCTGCATAAGTACACTAGGCTCAAAGCATTTATTACATATTAAATTGTAAAAACACAGATGCTTTTTGCAGAATATAAAAGGTTACTGGGTTTCAGAATCTAAAACTGCAACTGCGACATGAATGAGTAAAGGGTTTAAAAAGGGCTTTATCAATCTATAATCCCAGCATAATGCGAAGCAGTATCTATAATGATACATGGTTGTGCCTCTCCCTTGTTTAATCATAACAGATAAGGCTGCCTCACAGTGGCTCACACTGTTTGTAAAGACTGTGCGAAATGTAGAGAGACAGACAGATTTGTTGTGGAATACGAGAGAATTTGAGCTGCACAGTCAAGGAAAGCCAAATAGTGTTTTATTGAGAAAGTCAGACAGAGGAATGTCTTGATTTCAAGAATATGTCATAAATGTAAAACATTAAAAAATGACAGTAATCTCTTATGTCAAAGAACTGAAACAATAAATTGTATAAAATGCACACAGGCATCTATATATTTAACATTTTCAGTTAAATAGGGGGAACACGGTGCAATGGGAAAATGATAAAAAGACAGGGAATTTAAATGTCCCATTATTAATTTTAATTTACATAGTATAGAACCTAACATTTTTAACATAAGGGATGTCAAAATACTGGCATTATTGTGAGCTGATGTACAAATGGTGCATTAAATTGGATTTGTCAGCATGGTCAATTTTTAGTTTGTCAATCTAAATCATCAAATTATTTCTTCTTTTCCACAAAAAAAAAAATATATATGTAATGGTGTAATTGATTTTAGGAAAATAAACTATATCTAATAAAAGTGTTCAAAACCACAAACAGTTTAAGTTTAATATGCAGTATATTGTTTTTCTGCATAGAGACTCCCTACTCAAAGACTGGGCAATAGTAATGACTAACCCTTATGCTGCAGATGATTACATTTCCCATGATGCTTAGCCAACCTGCAGGCTGTATAAGCATCAAGGGATATGTAGTTTACAAATATCTGCAGTACAAATGTCTTCACCACAACAGAATGATTAACAAGCTGATCAAACAGTGCCCAGTGATAAAGCATTAGATTTGATTCAAGACTGTACATTATTACAGAAGGGGGTAACCAGTTAGGGGGTATATTAACTTTACAGTGAGCGATGGTGAGTTAACAGATGTGCAACATTAAGACTAAATTAATCAATTTAGAAAATAATTCTAATTCTACCAACATTGCTATTTTTATAGTTCGGGGTAATCTTGGTCCTACATTTTGTGCAATGACTTTTAAATCTTCACCATTCCCTGTTTAGTTTAGATACTGAACAAAAGTTAAAAAAAATTCAGATTACATAGAGATGGTTATAATATACTGTATTGGATGTAGCAGCATTACATTGCATTGAAACTCTATCCAATGTCCACTAGGGCAGTTATTCCCAAAGCAATGCTTATTCCTTCACAGTAAACGTGGATCTAGGTTTTTTTTTTTTCAGTACTTTCCCATTGGAAATACCATGAAAACCTGAAGCATTATACGTAAATGATGATTTAGGAAACACGGCAATAGACAACTGTATCCATCAGCAGTTAATTGCTGTAATTATCCAGACAGGTTATGATGGCTCTTTATTTAAAAGGGTTATAATCCTGAAAAGACCTGAAGGTGGTTTAAACTTTACAGGACACGGTTCTAGTGAAATTAAACCCAATTTCAGTTGATATTGAATTGGAAAACAGAATGTAAAGAATTGGTACATCCCTTTAAATCATGAGAAGCATAGTGTGTGGTTGGACAGTAAGGGGTTACTCCTTTAACATGGTTCTGCTCCCTCCAACAGCACTTCAAAAATCTAAATGAATTTCCTAAACAAACCTGAAGTATATATATTACATTGTCGGTATATTACGGATTATATGGTATTGTATAACATCACATATTGTAATTTAAATGATTAGGGGTCTTTTCACTAAACAGTGATTTCAAGCTGAGAAAATCAAACCAGAATAGCTTACTTGGAAAAATACATCAACTCAACTAAATTGGACATTTTTTCCAATGCAGTAGTTTTGGTGTAAACACAGCAATTCAAATGTCAACTCATCATAGCTCAATGTTTAGTGAATAAGCCCCATGTATTTGCAGAAGAACCATTTACTTTAATCAGAACTCCTGTTCCTGCAGTGCGATTGCTCTAATCCTCAGTCCCTTAGTTACACATGGCATGATATTGTAAATTTGTTTTGTAAATCCCACATGATGTACCTGCATTGCAGAGCAAAGCAAATTAAACACTATAAAACAACAAGTGATATTCACATACATAGGATAGTATCATAAATACCCGTATGGTGTAAAAATAACCAATTAAAGTTAGTTCACATTTAGGTTTATATGCATGTGCATGGAATACGTGATGAAGTGATTACTTATATAAAGTAACAGCATGTCTGTTTGGTACTTGTGTGATTTGTGCATATTCATTACTGAAATTGTATCCTAGAAATGGTTTCAAACATGGCAATGCTTCCTGACTTACTATATTTTCACTCTGCAGTCAGTCATTGAGCTATTCATTATCGCGAGCTCTTCAAATCTGCTCTCTTTATATAGTCCGTACCATTTAATCAATTACTAGATCAATCAATATCAAACACCACTCATGCCTTAAGTGGGAGCTATATATTTTAATCAGGCTACATTGTCTCGCTGTTAGTCTGTGGACATAGATAATCATTCCTACCAAACTATAGAAGACCATCATTCATAGGTCATGCAACAGCGGATCGCTCTGTCATTTATGGAAATGTAGCTAAAGACGTAAAGTAAATAAATGTCTCCGTTAGAAATATATGTAAATGGATATTAACTCAAGTGAGAATTCAAATTTGAGGCTAAAAGAGCTGGACTGGAACAATTCACTATGTCAGCTATGTTTTTAGTATGGTTACTCTGGCTTGAACTGTGAAATTCACTTTAAATTCACTTTGAATTCTTACTTTAGTAAATAACCCTGATGGTAATATAACCTTTTTTTAACAAGAAATACAAAAACAAATTATAACGGAGTAAAGTGTACATTAGTTACTTTGACACCTGCCATGCCATGAATAGTGTATAGGTGGAATGATTCCCTGACCTATATTGTTCTTTTGGTGGAACGTCTAGACCAGGGGTAGGCAACCTTCGGCACTCCTGATGTTGTGGACTACACCTCCCATTATGTTTTCCCAGCATTAGAGCATTGTGGGAGATGCAGTCCACAACATGTTGCGTGTCGAAGGTTGCCTACCCCTGTCCTAGAAGAATCATTACTATCAGTCGCTGGATGGCAGGAAGGTCCACAGACCACCAGATTGTTCTCTACCCTCTGGGATAAACCATGCTGTTTAAGAATGTTCACCAGAGATAGAGGCTACCAGGGCAGCTGTCCATGGTGCTATAATAGACTTCTCCTGGGCAAACGCCTTATGTTCTGTTAGTTATTTGACATGTCTGACTGGGTTCAATATTATTTCCAAATAGATCATGTAAATTTAACTTACCAAAGAGTTGATCTCTGTTTGTTGTCCCATATGATAAGAGCATGAAGCGCAGTCCTTGGTACATTCTCCGTGGATGGCCACTGTGAACAACGTGGACATCGCCAACAGCACCAAAGAGCATTGTCTGAGAACCAAACCCACCGACTGCAAAACAAAACGTAAACAAAACCCATGTTTACTACAGAATAGAAACTTGTATATGTAGAAATCGAACTCAACTCCATCCGATTCAGTTATTTTATTAAAATGCTCATAGGATGCAGCAGGTAACAATAACAACTTTATGTCCCAGTCTTAATTCAATGCAATAGATCCTCTTTACAGCGTCCAACAGGAATATCAATGTGTAAATGTAATATCCAGATTCCACAAATCTAGAAATATATGACTGGCAATGTGCATATGGGAAGAGTTAACAAAGGATGTGAAATAATTCTATAACAAGTAATAATCAGATCTAAGGATCAATACAAAAATGTAACAAAAAGTACTCACATGCATGATTGCAACTTCCTTCTTAGCTTGGTAGGAGAAGATCCACAGATGCTCTAGGAGGGAGAATGTGTAGAAATGCTACAGCAAGCACAGCTGAATATTTATACAGGTACAAAGTGGTTGGTAATATAACCAATGTCTAGATGGACAATGTTTGGGGAGGAATAAAGCAGAAAAAATAAACAACCAAGTGATCACCACTGGATAAGGTCTCCCAGCATAGGGAGAGTAAATCTCTCAGTAAGTCACCTACTCTCTAATGTGAGTTGGTGAGAAAGCAAAGGAAGGAACAAGCTCAGCAGTTCTGTCTCCTTAAATGGATGTGTGTGCTCTTGTGATGCTCAATAGCAAAATCATAGAGCTGCTCTACTTTATAATTAGTTAAAAAAAGAGAAAGTCAGGCTCCCCCCAATAGCCTGTAGCCTCCATCTGACGTAAGACCTACGAAACCCACTTGAGATTTCGCACTCCCTGACTGTCACTCGCCCTATTATGACTGAGCATAGTCATGCCAGCACTCCACTTTTATGGGGGCGGTGTCGTGCTAAAGAGTCTTACCCAGAGAGAGATGTGTTACTTTTTCTCTCGGGTACAAAGCGTTGTGAGGAGACATGCTGAGAGCTGAGATTGAAGTCCCGACAGGTCAATAAATTAAGTATGCTTATATCTCATATGCTGCTAAAAAAAACTTACATCTTAACCCTTTCTCCTTCTAAAATGTAGGAAAGCCTTACAATCATTAAAAAGGAAAGCCTAATGTTTTTTTCTTTTACTGATAACAGAGATAGTCAGCATTCTGAAAACATTTCTCCTCTCCATAGATTCTCACTGTACAGTGTGTGTTCATTAACCCTTTCAGCTTCAAAGGAATCACAGCATTTAACTTACTGAAACTATAACAGGCTGCATATACCGTCTGTCAGTTATCATCTCTGGAACAGAAAAGGTTAACCTGTACAGCCACTTTCAAAGACTGGTGTATTTATTCACCATTTCAGTCGCGCAGAAATCACATTTTAATAAACCCCATGGGACTGAAAGGGTTAAATACAGAACCACAGTCAATGATGAGTATGTTTATTAACCCTTTCAAATTCACAGTTATGAACAAATATTACCATCCTCTGGGACTGGACAGGGTTAATATATATCCACTGTTAGTTGTCACCTCTATGACTTACATTTTCCTGCTTTTAGTGAAGTGTGTATTCAGTCTCACTGGAATCATATCATTCCATCCCGTTGGACTGAAAGGGTTAATTACATAACCACTATGTTAGGTGTGTATTTATTAACCCTTTCATTTTCACAGATATCAACATATCTTACCAAGATCTACAACTGGAAAAAGGGTTGTGTGGGGATATGTCTGTGATTATCTTTAGTTTTTTAATGTGAAACATTTAACCCTTTCTTTGCTCCATACACAGAGTGCCCATGTGTTTCAGTGTGCTAACCTAGTCATGAGACCACATGTAATAAAATATTGCAGCTAACACTTACCATCAATATGATGCAGAGATGCCTTGCCTGTAGTTTAGTATAATCTCCAAGCCATATTCCACTTATCTTTAAATATAGTTAATGCACACATGTACATTATAGTAGGGTAGCTGGGAATGCTTATTGGGCCATAAGACTGAGTTAACAAAACATTACATAATACAAAATAACATTATGTGGAGAGATGTTATTTGTAGCTATATATATATATATATATACACACACACACACACACGCGCGCGCGCGCTAGCTCACTCACTCTATTTGAAGACCAATGAAAATGCTTAATGAATAGATGGAGACAATAAAACATTAAGAAATGGGAACAGAATATCAACTATCAGTGTAAAAGCCAGTAAAGTTTCTGTTTGTGAGTGAGATTAAATTATTTCCTACTCTTTAAAAAGAGAAAGAGTTAAGACGTTAGGGCAGGGATTGTTGGGAGCTATGAACATTTTACATTGATATATTTGGGGTAATCGTCATCAATGTTAGCAGTTATAACATTTTATGCCACTAGAAAGATACGCAACAAATACTTAGAGATAGGTGAACTACTGGAAAATGTGTTAAAGGCACCATGATTCTAGCACACATCATATATCTTACACATAAATCATTTTACTCACATACGGTGCACTTATTGACAGTGAATGCACAACTTACTTCAAGTGGATGTAACATATTAAATGACATCCATAGTTTACTTACACACTATAGACAATTCTAAACATGAGAATGACAAATCAGAGGTTAATATTTATTCTGCTATTCATATACAGAAAGCATTGACTCATTTTCATGCTCTCCTGGTCATATTTGAAAAAGAGGGAATAAAACAACCTCATAAAACATTTTTAAAGTATAAAAATAAAATTGAACATAATACGCAAAATAAATTTAACGTGATAATGAATTATATCCACTAGAGGGCACCAGAAGCCCCCAACTGAGACTGCGAGACATTGAAAAAGCAAGAAAAAGTGAGATGTGAGATAAATGTTCTTTCAAATGTTGCACACATTGCATCGCCACTATTTAGATTAGTCCATGAACTATAAAGCAAGGATGATGACTGAATACATATAAATCTTAGTGGGATAAATATATTGCTTACAGAATAATAACTAAATCCAATGTCCGTGGTAACTCTCATTCCTAAATGTCTTTCTTTGCTTCACTTTCTGTTTTCGAATCATCAAGCCTGTATATTCTTCTGGAATATTAAAATTTCATCAATGTGATTAGATTCACATCACTATGATCTGGACCAAATCTCTAACACTAACAGCAGTTTTGTATTTGGCTTGGGGTGCATATTAATCAAATGTATATAGGTGTTGGTGTATATAGAGTAAACATGTATTAAAGACTAATGTTGTCCTATAACAACTATTTAAAAGGCCTATACTATGCTGCTTTAAATAATCAAGTCATTGGCATTAATGCCATTTTAACTAGCACAGATTTTCTCCCAATGGATGTCTTATTTAAGTTGAATATTGATTCTAGGGATTGTTAATATATATATACATATATCAAACACACATACATATTGCTCTTCTTACATTTGAGAAATGGCCCAAGGAAACATTTAATTGAATGGATATGTTTTAGGTGTCTGAGCTCATTCTTGAAGAAATAACCCTTTACAAAAGGTCATGCAGACATGTACCCGAGTATAAAAAAAAATACTACCATTTATTCAATAGGTCCCTCCCTTATTGTTATTTAGGGCCCCCATCCACCGCTCAGGGATAGCAAGCATAGCGAATAGGGGCAGAATTTACTAATACTAAGTAACCTTTACTTAGTATTAGTAAATTTGGCTGAAAGTACCGTGGGAATTAGGGAGTTATCTACTAAGCGGCTGCAAGATGCAGCCGCAGCACGAATAGGATCGGAGTTTCATTCATTCGAATTCGGGTGTACACAGCTTTGTACATTACAGCATTATCAGAGATCTCCCCTCGGGTCCTGCAGAGCCACGAGGGGAGAGGAAGGCACAGTTCCCGATGATATGATCATAAGATCATAGCATTGGGGAAATATTTCACAGCAATTTATTGCCAGTCCGCGAAAGCTTTCACCCAATTATACCGCTACACTGTAGCGGTATAGTCAGATGAAAGCTTTTGCGGACTGGCAATAAATTCTCGCAGACTGGCGCCAGTCTGCGGACCACCGGTTAAAGACCATTGATCTATACAGTAGGCCTACACAGCCTATTTTATTAGGGTGTGCATGGATACATTTTTATATTTATTGAAATGTTGAGTGGATATGGATGTGGGTGTGTAGGGTGGCTGTAAATGCTGTAGCTATGTGTGTGCAATGTATAAGGCTGGCTGAGTGTAATGTGTCTACATCTGTGAGTGATGTGTGTGGCTGTGTGTGGGTAGTTGTGAGTGATATGTGTACCTGTGTGAGCAGCTGTGAGTGATAAGTTTGGGCCTCTGTGCATGATGTGTGTGACAATGTGTGATGTTTGGGAAATACATATGTCTTCCCACACAGTGGAATTTCCATTAAGTAAAAAAAGGGAAGGGAGATTCAAGTTAGCTTTGTCTCAGACTAATAAAGCTAGTGGAGGGGGAATAGGGGCAGAAGGGGGGGTGTAGTGGCAGTAGTGGCGGGACCGGGGATGTAGTTGTGGGATAAAGGCTGTAGTGAGGATTAGGACCTGTAGTGGAGGGTTACAGGCTAAAGTGTGGGGAATATGACCTGTGTTATTGGTTAGCAGAAGTAGTGTGGGATAGGGGTACTAATGACGGGTTAGGGGCTGTAGTGGGGTATATAGGCAGTAGTGGTATATAAAGTCAGTAGTGGGAAGTTAGGGGCAGTAGCAGCTAGTGGGAGATAGGGGCTGCAATACTAGTGGCTGTAATGAGGCATAGGGGCTGTAGTGGGGGGTTGGTGGTTTGGAGTAGAAGTGAGGGTTAGAGACTGAAATAGGGTTCTAGAGGCTGAAGTGGGGGTTTATGTGCTGCAGTGGGGGGGAGGGAGGGTTAGGGCAGGGGTGTTAGAACCTGAAGTGAGGAGGTTATGGGCTAAAGTGGGATTAGAGGCTGAAGTAGTGGTGTTACGGGCAGTAGTGGGGGGTGGTTAAAGGCTAAAAGGAGGCTATGGGCAGTAGTGGGGGGATATTGTAGGCTGAAGTGGGAGGGGGTTTAGGACCTGTAGGAGGGATTTAGGGGCAGAACTGGGGATTTAGAAACAGAAGTATGATCTGCAATGGGGGGGAGTTAGGTGCAGTAGTGGGGTGTTAGAGGCTGAAGTGGAGAGTTATCACGTATAATGGGGTGTTAGAGGCCATGTTCTCCCTCCACCCCCTTGAATCTGAGGCTAGCTGGAGACCGTGTCCATCACTGAGGATTTGGAAGATGGCTTGGCTTCTAGGGCCAGTCAGGGAGATCTTTTGATTTTCAGCTTGTTCAGCAGCCAGCACTCCGGCTGCATTAGGGTGTTCCTAGGCACACCCAGCACACCCAATGCGCATGTTTATGATTTATACACAAAAACTGCTTCATTAACCTAAAGTTATTTTGGGAACTATAGTGTTCCTTTAATGTTGGCCATCAAGCTACGTAATCGCAGACTGGTCAGAGTGCCTGTAATGACCCCTGTCCACTGTCAAAAGTGCCTTCAATAGGGATGTGCATGTGAGAACTGGACCATGGAGCAATGTAAGATGGTTGCCTGGTCTGATGAGTCACATTTTCTTTTAAATCAGGTAATGGCCAGGTGCATTTCCAACATTTACCTATTGAAGAGATGGCAGCAGGATGCACATGAAAAGAAGGCAGGCCAGAGGAGGCAGTGTTATGCTCTGCGCAATGTTCTGCTAGGAAACCTTGGGTCCTGGCATTCATGTGGCTGTTACTTTGACATGTACTACCTACCTAGAGATTGTGGCAGACCATGTACACCCCTTCATGGCAATGGTCTTCCCTGATGGAAGTGGCCTCTTTCAGCAGGATAATGCACCATGTCACACTGCAAAAAACATTCAGGAATAGTTTGAAGAACATGACAAAGAGTTCAAGG